TCTCTCTCTCTCTCTCTCTCTCTCTCTCTCTCTCTCTCTCTATTATATGATATGCCGCGACGAACGAAACCTGGTGTTGTGCAATTTTTCGTCGCTGTACGACGTGTACCGAGACCGAGAGACCGGACGGACGGACGGACGGACGGCCGTCGCTTGCGCGCGATCGAGATCGAAATTGAGATCGGGATCGAGGTCGGATGGCGGCATAGTTCCCGGCACTCGAGCGTACGTCCGCGCTTCCCACGTGCCACGCTGTCATGCGCGTTAAACTCGGCAAAATTTCCAAGCGTTTTTCAGAACGAACGAGCACACAAATCGCTCGTGCGCACATCCTGCTATCGAAAGATTCGTCCAAGCTGAAAATGAGATTACATAATTTACAGACGATTCTTTTCAATCATACTTAACTTCAATGTAGTTCTTGATATTTTCTTCATCTGGAAATTTAGCGATCTCTCTCTCTCTCTCTCTCTCTCTCTCTCTTCTCTCTTTCTCTCTCTCTTTCTCTCTCTCTTCCAATATCTTCATTCATTCGGAGAATGCAAACGAGCATTTTAAGCGGGGTTTCACGTCACGTGTGTAGATACGCCGTTTAAAGCCGTGTTGGTGGATGCGTGCGGCGCGGCGGTGCGGTGAACGAGGGCCGATATGACCGTGTTAGCGATTGGTCACGGGTGTGGGTGCGCCATATGTGCGACCGTTTCAAGCAGGCTACCTGTCTTTAGGGTCGTAACGCCGGATCGGCTTTTGACGAGCGATAATGATTTCGAGAATCGAGCACCCTCGTTATGCGAACAGAGGCGCATCGGGATTCATAATGCGCGCTCGAAGACGAATATAGTGTCTAAAGCAGACGGAGCGTACGAATGACATATTTTTGCCCTCTTCATCGATATGAATAATTTCTACAAATATTTCTACAAATATATTATAGAAATTTACATTTTTGTTACACAGAACAAATATTTACTTATATATATATGTGTGTGTGTGTGTGTGTGTGTGTGTGTGTGTGTGTATGACTCGATAGCTATAAAATGAAAATATCATTGAAATTTAGGATTAAGCGATTGCTACAAGAAATATGATTGCAAAAATGTGGATATCAATTTGGCGGTTCAATTATTTTCGGACTTGTATCTGACAAAGTATCTAAAATTTTATACACTTCAGTAAAAAACTTATTTCTTTCTATATATACACATGGAAGATTAAGGAAGCTCGTTTTTCGTAATCGTCGCAAAACCGTCGCAAAACCGTCGATAAATTCCAGAAAGTCGAATCTCTCGTTGGATCCGGCCGATCACGGCCGGTCGCCGCCGCCCGCGGGGTGAAAAATACTTGCGCGGCCAAGCATGCCGCGATACTCCGATCGCTCGGCCGACCGAAGGAGGCATCGATCTCGCCATTGATCGATCGGTCGGTTGGTGCCACGGATAAGATACTGTCGTCGTTCTGGTCCTGTCCTACTCATCGTCGGCCGATCCGACGGACCACACGCGTCTTTTTCGCCTTTCTCTCGTATCTTTCGCAATAGATCCGGTCGACCCGCGTGTTCTATCCCTCGCGTCGCGATACCGCTTTCGCGTATAACATCACTCGCGGTCCGTACACTTTCCAGTTTCTCTCTTTTCTCTCCTTCTTCCTCTTACCTTAACGTCGAAGATCTAAGAAGGTGGCGAAATATATATTCGAGATCGATCAAAGTTACTCGCCTACTCCTCTCGAACGGAAAGATAAACTCGCTAACGGGGAGCTCTAACGTTATTAATTTTGATTTTTAATTTTTTTTCTCATCATATCGTTGTTTTCTGCGTTGGACAGACACCGAGACGAGAGAAGGAACACGTGCGTCTTGTTTCTCATCGTATCGCGATCGTGTTTGCGGAATCGATTCTCGGAATAAAAGTCGTTCGCGACGCGTAAGATGAAAATTTCGGTCGCCGCCGTGAGCACCGCCTTCGAGGAACGAGGACAAGAGACAACTTGTGACTTCTTCAGAGCGGAGGGAGGGATGAAGAGAAAGGAGGGGAGATTCCCCTCTGCCAGCAGCGAGAGGGCCACCCACGTCGTGGGCGCAAAGGCGATATTTAGCGGAAGGCAAATCTCTCTGGACCACCCACATCGGCTCCTCGTCGCCGGAGCCTGGGCTACCTTATTTCAGGGTGCGCACCGTGTCGTTGTGTGGGTCCCGCAGCACGAAACCGAGAACGGGCCTTTCTAGCGCGTGTATATATATTTATATATATTTATATATATAAAAATATATATTTTTTTATCGATGAAATTTTTATTCATTCGAGTGCAAAATACATGGTTTTATTACCACAAAGTTTTTTCAGCATTTTAAATGTCTCATATATATTTTTCTACTTTTTTCTAAGTTTGTAACAGAAGTTGAGTATCCTATTCCAATTTTAATGTCTGCAACGTAATGTCTCGAGAGTGAGGAATGCGAGAAACACGTAAAAATACACCACGATCGATCCTTTGCACAATTTTAAAGAAATGTTTTAGTATATCGTACATGCGACGCACAATATTCGCACCTGTGCGAACGTAATGTTGCCAATCCTAGAATTTTCTTGTCCGATTATGCACGCATACCTCGAATCGAATAAACAAATTGCTAA